ATCTTTAATACATTCTATTAAGGCGTGAATAAGACTTTAAAACTTTGTCTCAGTAACAGAGTAGCTCGGACTAGAGCTAAACCAGCTTTAACAGCCAGAATAAAAAATTACTTTTGCACATGGTATTTATTCTCAACACTATGTCACCTGAAATAACATTTTTTTTTCTAAATGCAAAAGTGAGCAGTTACCCGTCAATACAAAATGACAAATTTTACGAGGAGCTGACTTGGCGCCTCCCTTTCCCCACCAGAGGCTAGCCCGTTACACTGCCCACAGGCACACACCTTGTATTTGCCATTGGCTCTGCCTGTTTGCCCAATGCTCCATTTTCCTAGAGCGAAGTTATCTTTCAAAGCACAGAGGAAAGGCAGCAGCCATTTTCTCCACCTCTTGTTGGGGTGAGGGAAATAGATTGCAACAGCCCTGCTAAGAATTGGCACAACCTGTGTTATTCCAAAATGACTAGGCAAGGGTTTGATGGAGGAATTTAAGAGAAAACTGTGTGCTTTCAGAAGTGTTTAGGCTTTAGATGACTGGTAGTTCCCTTCTCTGGAAGGCTTGAAGTGAAAAGACTGGACAAACCTGTTCTGCATGGTAGATGGGAACGCATGCTTGGGAATATGTTCTGCATGGTAGCTGGGAACGCATGCTTGGGAATATGTTCTGCATGGTAGCTGGGAACGCATGCTTGGGAATATGCTCCGGATGCACCTTGCTTGCACCATCAGCATCTTAGGCTGATGGACATAGGCTAGGTGGGCACTGCCTGGAGGCTCCTTGGTTTGCAGGACTCTGTCTGGGTATGTGACTAGAAGGGGACAGTTGGAATGATGGGAAGAGGAGGAAGCAGGGAGCTTCAGAGCTTCACTACTTTGAGGAGGGGCTGTGAAAGACTGCCCTGTGCTGTTGTAGCAACTGGCCTCTTGGGGCTGGTTCCCAACTGAAATGTGCTGACAGAGTAAAAGCACACTGGGTTTCAAACAAAGACTTAGTGTGAGACAAGAATGTAAAACATCTCAAATAGTTTTAGGTTGATTACATGTTGAGACTGCATGTGAAATGGTGATATTACTGGTATGTTGGATTTCCTCTGACTCTTTACTTTTTTAATGTGGCTGTTTGAAATTGTAAATTATGCATGTGGCTTACATTATATTTCTAGTGGACAGGGATGCTTTATATCCATTTTAAATGGTGGAATTATGGCTCATGTTTACTTTCTTGTGTTTTCTGTGTTTTTCAAGCTGAAAATATGAGACACATCTTTCTCAAAGACACATCTTTGAGAAAAAAACGTATCAGGGATTTGGGAGATTGGAAAGCATGTGTCCTAGTTATAGCCAATGGGCAACTAAATGGAGACACAACTTCCTCAGCTGTAAAATGAAGGTAACAGTTTTGATCTCGCCAGGTTATAGTCAGAAGTGAGAAATGCATAGGAAGCTAGCAGAAACTGTCTAGCACGGAACCTGACACAGGATAAACTCAATAACTGTTTGTTATTATTCTTGGTTATATCTCAAGAACTATCCAATGCCCAGTCTTTAATCTGTGTCCATTTCCAAGTCAGTTCCTCATCGCTCTTGCTCTCCACATTTGTATTTGCTATCATATCTATCTAATTCTACCCTTCTCTTTCACATTCTTGAAGAGCCTTAGGTCTGGTTCCCTATTTTCTGCTATTTGTTCAGTCTAAGATACCTCCCACTTTGGCTCATTTCAATTTCAGAGCAAAGATGCTCTCCTGGCTAAAACTATAAACCAGGCCACAACTCTTCATCGGCCCATCCTTGCACCATTCCTGGGATGCTGGGTCTTGCTTTTTACTGAATTCTGCTTCTTTTAAAGGACAACTGATTGCAGGCAAAGTAGGGGAAGGTCCAAGAAGAATAAGGATCATGCACATTAGAGATCAATAGAACAGGTGCAAAGACAGGACCACAAAACCTCTCTCTTTCCCCACAACCTTGCCACCATTTCTCACTGCCTTTCTTCAGTTGGCTTTAAAAGCTGTGTTCAACCGATGGTAATGAGTACAAGGCAGTTCTCGTTGCCTTTCTAGATTCTTGCCACCTGAAGCACAACCTCCCACAGTGCAGCCCAGCACACATCTTAAGCCCTGTGCTCAATTTCCATATTCTAGGAAGTCAGTCCTCAGATGAAGAAGGTTGTACTTGTTCAGAAATTCAGTGCAAGGAAGAGAGAAGAATCTAAAACTTTGGGAAGACATGTAGATTCCCTCGGCATGATAAGCTTCCTAGTTCCTTCACAAATAATGAGAGGAACCTTTCAGTCCGAGCTGCATGAGATAAAAACAGAGAAGTAACTTAGGAACACACTTGGAATATGCACAGATAGCTAGAAACACCCAGGCTTCTCGAAGCAATGGAAAAAAAGATATCCCTTATTTTCTATCATGTATTTTTTAATTCAGAAAAATGTTAATATTTGTTCCCATCCAGCAGCTCTAACTGGGTGACTCAGAATATACTCCTGACTTCAGGGGATTCTTTTTTTTTTTTTGGCCTTTCCAGCAGATCGATATGTTACTTTACCCATTTTATTTTTAGATTTACTGAGTATTCTCAGGATAGCAAACTCCAAGGGAAGAAATAAGCAAATTGGTTTGTATTTCAAGGCTTGGGCAGAGGTTTGATAGGAGAAACCCTTGGAAATTAACAGGGGAGCAGAATGTCCAGGGCCCTCTTTGCTGCCAGCTGGAATTGGTGGGGGATTCATTGTTGGGATAACTGGGTTATTTCAGTGCCAGAGAACACATCCAGGGTCACTCTGCCACCAGGCGAGGGATGCTCAGGCCAGCACATGTGAGAGGGCCAATGCTGGATGCATAATCGTGGGCAGCTTTTACTAAAGAAATATGTACCATTGATCAGAGGAAGGAGGGGATCATCCCCAACTCACTTTCCTGTGCTTTCCTAGAATAGCAGAAGGTTTGAAAATGTGAATGAATTTTATTATTCAAATTTAGGAGAGGGAGAAAGCATTTATGAAATTCCAAAACATGGCTTCAGGAATATTAGCTATTCACACAGGAACTTTTATGTTCTGGTAGCTTGGCTCTCTGGGACAAAGAGCAAATGTTCTGCGGTTTCCTGATCATTTTCTTGGCTGAGGGTGTTTTTTTTTTGGTTTGTCTTTTTTTGGGTGGTGGTAGCAGTGGGTGTTCACTGTGGCTAAGAGCTCATGACACTTGTGATTGATAGCAGTTGTCTGTGGTCTATATAGCATCCTTTTCTGTCAGAGATCACAGAAAGAGCAATGAATATATAAGGCAGAATGAAAATATGTGGGCATGCAGACATATATGTCCATGCAGTCAACTTTTGATCCACTGAGTGGTGTCTCTTTAGGGACTGATCGTTTCAGTGCTACAAAGGCAATGAGCGTGTTGCTGGCTGAACTTGAAGTTTTGTTTTCCGTTGTTTTTAGATAATTGTCTTTCCCCTCCATGAGGATAGAAGAGATGATGTATCTAACACATGTGAAAATAAACAAGTGCTATTGCAGATATGAGCATTATAATTACAGGTATGCACATGTAGTTAATAAGTATGTCCAAAGTACATTCTTGGTGATGACAGTCTATTCCTGATTTTGCTTCCTTCAAAACTGAACACAAAACCAGTGTTACTAAATATGCTTCTTCATTACCAAGGAGCTAACACTGCCATTTGTCTTGCAAATACCATGGGGTCTTCTTTTTAAAATACAAATGTTTCATCTGATACGGCTAGTCTGTATGCATCTATTTCTTTAAAACAAAAATACAAAACTAGATTATTGTACTACATAAAATGCTTTCCGGTTACACAAACAAAAACATTTTTTAAATTAACAGCCATCAACAGATGATATAAATAGTGTAAAGCATTTAATGGTCTTTAATACAGTCAACTTCCCCGGCCTTGAAACACTGTTAAATTCTTTTTTGCTAGTGGCAAAAGAAGCTGTCAAGCACAACACCGAAAAATTGGTACCATTTCCTGGTCAGTAAGCACAGAACGGAGGAGCTAAATGTTTTACGGTTTTTATTGTCATTCTCATACCATTTTGTTTCTCTGCTTCCTCTCGCCTGCTCAGGGCTGATTGTTGTGACCTTGGCCGTCTGCTGGATGCCTAACCAGGTCCGGAGGATCATGGCTGCAGCCAAACCCAAGCACGACTGGACGAGGTCCTACTTCCGGGCGTACATGACCCTCCTCCCCTTCTCGGACACCTTCTTCTACCTGAGCTCCGTCTTCAACCCGCTCCTGTACAACGTGTCCTCGCAGCAGTTCCGCAGCGTGTTCCGGCAGGTGCTCTGCTGTCACCTGACCCTGCGCCACGTCAACCAGGAGAAGCGCCTGCGAGCGGAGGCAGCCTCCACCGCAGACAGTACCCGCTCAGCGCGCCGCGCGCTCATCTCTGTTGCTTCCAGGCGCAGTTCCTCTGCAAGGAGAACTAACAAGGTTTTCTTAAGCACTTTTCAGAGTGAGGACAAACCCGAGCCTCAGCCCCAGCAACTGAGTCTCGAGTCATCAGAGCCCAGCTCGGAGACAAAGCCAGCCAATTCTGCCACAGAGAATGGTTTTCAGGAGCACGAAGTGTGAGTGTCAAGTACAGAAGGCCCACCCTCCACAGAAGCAATGGGTGTCCTCATGCAGCGGTGACCAACCTGTGCCCTTGTCCCAGCCAGGAGTGGACGCCTTGGAAAAGACAGAAGCCCATCTAAGTATCTCCTAAGGGCTGATTCTGCCAGCCTGGCCTTTTGACCCTGGTCTACAGAGAGTGGGGCACACGTTCACTCCACCCCTCCCTTCCCCTTAAGCACACTGAAAATTCAGACTGTACTGACAGAGCTTGCAAAATTGTTGTACACTGAGCTCTTTCATTATTTGGAAAGGAACTGAAAAAGAGAACAGATTCCCTACCCTACCCAGGATAAGAGGACACCCAGAAGAATCTCAAGGAGTAGGGGGTGAGCAAGGGCCAGAAGAACAATGCAGGAGAGGCTGCATCTCTTTCAGCTTCAGCAGTGTGCCAAGAAGAGGGCTAGTTTGAGGAGCAGCATGGTGGTGGGGAGCTGGGGCCGAAGTGCCGAGGCAGGACTGCTCCTTTTCTTGGGCCGTGGCCCATTGCAAAGAGGGGTGTTACAGCAGCTGATGCACACTGAGTTCAGTTTCCCTGGGGAGCAGAAGGATTGGTACCCAGCAGAGGCGATGAGGCAGGCTGCTGACGATGCACAGGACTTGCGGTACATGATTCCTGAAACACAGACCCAAAGGAGCTGGGTTAACCTGTGCTGGCCAAGGACAGCTCCTCCTTCCTCCTCCCCAAGCCTTGGTGGGGCCAGGGAGGTGTTTCAGGTTGTGTCATTGAGTGCCCCCAGAACACATGGTGAAAGGTGGCAGTCATCTCCCTCCGTTTGACAAAAATGTTCCAAAAGATATTTGCTATACCAACACCAGCAAAAAAAGAGCTGTTTCAACAAAAACTGAACTTGAAGTTGGAATTCATGCTGTGTACTAGAACTAGACCCAGCTTTTTATTTACTTTTTTTGGTTCAAACTATCTCATGTCAGGAATCTAGATCTTATCATCTCTGTTATTACTTTATAAGTGACCACAGAGAGATAGCTTGCAACTATGCATTTATTAAATCCTGGAGTCTCTGAATGTCCAAATCCTAGAGGGAATGAATCAGCACCTTACTGAAGGGACCCTGATATTTTTCCCCAGATTTGAGGGGTCCACTGAGGAAGTGGCCTGGCTGACAGTGTGTCCAGAACAACCTTATTGTCAGGGAACAAGCTTTGCCTTTAAAATATATGCCCATTTGCCTAGCTAACAGCACTGGCACATGCATAGGCACATAAAAGAGCTTTCTGGAAGGGAGCACATGTGGCAGGTCCAAACTACAGCATGGTCAGCAAATCAGGGTATCTTGGATAATCATTTGACTTCTTAACTCTGGAAGCTTACTCAATTCAAATAGCTAAGCTTATTTAAATAGATTCCTGTGTGCCAGGTACTCCAGAGGGCTGTAGTGTACTAGTCCATTTACCACCTACAATAAGCCTAAGGGCAAAAGAGGTTTAGTAACTTGCCCAAGGTCACAGTACTAGAAAGGAGAGCAGCCAGTGAGGCAGAACCTAGTATTCTGGCTCCATGCTATCAAGTCTTTATTGCAGGCAGCAAAAGAGACTGCAAAAAGCTTTTTTTGGTGGGGGGAGGGGCAGGGTGCTTTACTCTGCAGATAGCTTTTGGGGTATGTGTAGCCATTTTGTACCAATGAACTGTATTTGTTTCAGACAAATACATCATGCTAAAGATGGATCTTTAAGTTAATGGATTTAGTGTGTTTGCTGCCCTGCACAGCTGATGAGACACATTCCACCAGCAGCCAAGGTGCCCTCTGACTTCCTGCAGAGAGGGGTGTTTGCAGGCATAGCTTTCATTTGGGCCTCCTTTCTTCCCTTTGATGACTGCTGCTTTGGGTGCTGGAGACACAGTAAAGAATTGAACCTGCTTGAACCATCCAAGTGGGAGGCAAAGAAATAACTGAAATTTACATTAAAATATGCAATTTTGTATCTTTCTGTGTATTTGCACATTTGTATAGATTGTTAAAATCTGACTGATACAGCTCATGGACAGAGCCAGGTATGAGGTGGAGTGCAGAGGTACCATTTAATTTCTAAGGAACATTCTATATGGCATTGCCCATTTGTACTTTTACTATCTTTTTATTAAAAGCACTAACTCATTTGCCTAATTCAATAAACTTTTTTCCTTAAGCGAATTTTTAAAATTCCCAATATTACGGAATGTATTTTTCACTGTAAAAAAGTTTGGACAGATAAGCATGCTCCTAGAACACCCCTTCTGATCCCAGGTCCTCCTCAGAGGAAGTGTTTTCATTTTATCAGTCTGGGATGTTTGTTTCTATACATTTAAATATGTGCCCATGGAGAAATAAAGTGTCTGTACACACATTTGTTAATGGCATCACATCCTACATGCTGTTCTGCAATTTGCATTCTTGCTTAGTGACATGACATAAAACACTTAGGGATTTCTTTTGAAGACTAACTTTTTCAAGCTAAGGATGAGTGGATAAGGTAGGTTAGATACTTAGATAAATAAGTATGAAGGGACTCTCCCCAATTTTTGTGACTGCCACCCAGGAGACACCTCCAGGTAACCTGGTTCTGATGGCTAGCAGGGCTTGTGGCCTCACAGAACTATATATATTTGCATTCTTTAAAGTTGTTGCCTGAGGGTCTTGCTTCCAATCAGCCTGAGTCTGGGTGCTGAGATGCTCCCGTTTGGGACATTGACTGGTCTTGGCATACCTGCAACTACTAGCAGTTATTAAAAACGTAAGAGGCTGTCACAATCACAAAGGTTTGAGACACAATAAAGAGTAGGGTGGGGTTGAACAGTAAGTTTCGTCTCCCATACACAGCCAGCCCTTCAAGACTGGGAGACATGGCTGTTTAATCAAATGTACAGAAAACAACACAGACTCAGACAAAAGATGAATATGTTCCAAATGAAAGAGCAAGAAAAACTTCAGGAAAAAATTCTTAATGAAATGAAGATAACTAATTTATCTGATAAAGAGTTCAAAGTAATGGACATAAAGATGTTCAACAAACCAGGAAAAGAATGGATAAACGCAGTGAGAACTTCAACAAAGAGATAGAAAATAAAGTATCAAACAGAAGTCACAGAGCTGGCTAACATACTGTCAATCAGAGTAACATTCACAAAAGAGTCCCAGAGGAAGAGACACAGAAAGGAGAAAACTTACTTGAAGAAATAATTGGTGTAAACTTTTCTAACCTAGGAAAGGAAATAGACGTCAAGACCCAGGAGACTCACAAAGTTCCAAATAAGATGAACCCAAAGAGACACATACTGAGACCCCATCAAAAATGAAATGTCAGGAGAGAATCTTAAAAGCAGCAAGAGAAAAATAACTTATTACATAACCTTGTAAGTCTTTTCCACAGAAACTTTGCAGGTCAGAAGGGAGTGATACAATATTCAAAGTGCTGAAATAAAATGAAAATAAAAACAAAACAAAAAACCTCCCAACCAACAATATTCTATTCCAGTAAAATTATCATTCAGAATTGAAGAGTTTCTTGAAATGCAAAAGCTAAATAATTTCATTATCACTAAACCAGCCTTACAAGAAATGTTAAAGTGACTTCTTTAAGTTGAAAAGAAAGGGCATTAATTAATGACAAGAAAACATACAAAAGTATAAGTCTTACTGGTAAAGGTGAACATATAGTAAAGGGAGTGGATTAACCACTTAAAAGCTAGTATAAAGGTTAAAAGACAAAAGTAGCAAAAATAACTAGCTACAATAATTAATTAAGGGGTACACAAGATAACTTAAAAACAGAAAATGAAGGGTGGAGAGTAAAATTATTAAGCTTCAGAATACATCCAAATGTAAGTCGTTAGATATACAAAATATGATAAGGAAGCTAGGCATACCACTAAAAGTCATCAAACCACACAGGAAGAGAGCAAGAGAGAAGAAGAAAGGAACAGAGAAACTGCCAAACAACCATAAAATAATTGACAAAATGGCAATAAGTACATACCTATAAATATAAATGGAACAAATTCTCCAATCAAAAGGCACAGAGTGACTAAATGAATTTTTTAAAAGGATCCATTTATATGCTGCCTGTAAGAGATTCAGTTCAGACATAAGGACACATAGAAACTAACAATGAAGGGATAGAAAGAAATATTCTGTGCATATGGAAACCAAAAGAAAGCTGTGGTTGCTTTACTTATATTTAAAGGACTATAACAAGAGACAAAAAAAGGTCTTTATATAATGGTAAGGGGTCAATCCTACAAGATGATATAACATTTGTAAATATTTATGCACCTAATGTAAGAGCAACTAAGAATATAAAACAAATAGAAATCAACCTAAAGGGAGAAATACAAAGCAATACAATAATACTAAGGGATGTTAATATCCCCTTTACATCAATGGATAGATCATATAACAGAAAATAAGGAAGTACTGGCTTTGAATGACATGTTAGATCCAATGAACTTAACAGCTACATATAGAACAATACATCCAAAAGCAACAGAATATACATTTTTTTCAGGTGCAAGTGGATCATTCTCCAGGATACAGCATATGTTAGGCCAAAAAATGAGTCTTAAGTTTAAGAAGACTGAAATCATATCAAGCATCTTTTCTGACCACAATGGTATGAAACTAGAGATCAATTATAAGAAGAAAATTGGGAAGTTTACAAATATGTGGAGATTAAATAACATGCACAGACCAACCATGAGTCAAGGAAGGAATCAAAGGCAAAATATGTTGAGTTTCCGTACATTAATAATGAACTCAGAACAAGAAATTGAGAAAACAATCCCACTGAAAATTGAATCAAAAGGATTGAAATACTTAGGGATAAATTTAAGCAAGTTATACTCTGAAAACTCTAAGACATTGAAGAAAGTGAAGATGACACAAATAAATGGAAAGATATTCCCTGCTCATGGATTAGAAGAATTAATATTGTTAAAATATCCACACTAGCCAAAGCAGTCTACATATTCAAAGTAATCCCTGTCAGAATTCCAATGGCATCTTTCACATCAATAGTACAAACTATCCTAAAATTTATATGAAACCACAAAAGACCCTGAATAGCCAAAGCAAGCTTCAGAGAGAACAAGGCTGGAGATATCAGGCTCCCAAATCTCAAACTTTATTATAAAGTTACAGTAAAAATAGTATGGTATTGGCTTAAAAACAGATACTTAAATCAATGGAACAGAGAGCCCAGAAGTAAACCCATACATAGTCATTATTTATGACAAAGGACCCAAATGGAAAAGGAAAAGGAACAATCTCTTCAATAAATGGTGCTGGGAAAAATGGGCAGCCAACATGCAAAAGAATAAAACCACTATCTTACACCATATACAAAAATTAATTAGAAATAGATTAAAGACTTGAGTGTAAAACCTAGGACCATAAAATCCCTAGAAGGAAACATAGGCAGTAAGCTCCTTGACATAGGCTTTGGTGATAATTTTCTGAACTTGACACTAAAAGCAAAGGCAACAAAAGCAAAATGAACAATTGGGACTTCATCAAACCAAAAAGCTTCCATGCAGTGAAGGAAACCATCAACAAAATGAAAGACAACATACTGAATGGGAGAAAACATTTACAAATCATATATATGATAAGGGGCTAATAT